AAAATTATATGAAAATAATCTTTGCGAAGACACAGACAATTTGTTTCTTAAGTAAGTTTATAAAGAGAGCTAATATTTTCTAGGCACTTATCACATGTTGGCCAATATTCAGAGTGTTTTCCATGCATTATTTCTTTAAGCTTCACAAAAACCCTGCAATAACAGTAATACTATCATTCTTCCCATTTTACAAAAGTAGAAATTTAGCCACAGAAAGATTAAGTAACTTTCCCACGACTATACAGTTAAGGAGTAGTCAAACTGGGATTTAAACCCAGGAAATCTGGCTGGGGAGCCATGAACTGACCCATTCACCCTTTTGCTGCCTAATATTGAGAAATTTTCTTATTTTCTAAAGGACAGATGATAAAATACACATCTGTCTGGAACATGGTAAAACTGCAATATATAGTAGCTCTCTTATTAACAAATATCAAAGTGTCCAGCAGAGTGTTCACTGTTCACATATTGGTCTAATATTTTCTGATTTTATACAAATTATTTTCTCCCTATTCTTCTATCAGTATTATTTTATCATTTTGTAGATATGAGAATAGTATAGAAGTTTCTCCTACTCTACTCTCCCTGCTACTGTGATCCTTCAAAATAAGTCCTATTTTATTCTGTTAACAATGTTTAATGTTTTTAATAATTACATAAGGTAAGTGGTTACAAGTCACCAGGCTGAAACAGATCACTGGATGCTCCTCCTCTTCTGTAAACACAGGCTGCCCTGTTAGTGGCAGGATATTTTATATCCAAGAATGTTTACAAGCACTTCAGCCTGTGGGGCCACTCAGTTAAGGGAACAGGTGGGTGATGTCATTCGGGGAGCCCACAGCCTGCTTCTAACCTTATCAGATATTCAGTTTCTCAATTTTATTTTTACTACCTGTACTTACAAATGCCTCTCCTGCCAGGAGTGAAGGGAGACACAACAGTTCTTTAATCTCGTTAGGTGTGATAATGAATTTTTTCCAGGACATTTAAGAAGAAGGGGGGGAGGAGAATTCTGTGCAGAGTATAAAAAAAAAAAAAAAAGTATAAAAATGTCAGCAAACACAATGATAAACGAAGCGTACAGTAAAATACCACTGCCAAAAAAATAAATAAAAAAAAAACACTGAAAAACAAGAAAACACAAAAACCCACTTATAGTTTTGTAACTCAGGCTTCAAAAGAAAAAGGCTGTTGAGCTGAAACAGTAAGAGGCTGCATATGGGAGGTCCAGCATCTATGAGGTTCAGAATATTACAAGACCCTTGGTACACAGATCAGTAATACAAAGCCCAGGAATATGCTTAGGTTGCTTATTTTGAGCAAAGGAGAGGAATCAATGACCACAAGGGCTTGGGACCTCTTAGAGCTATTATTATGAAATAGATAATTCTGTTGAACATCTGTAGCCCCAATAGTATGCAATTCAATACTCAAGTGTGTAAAAATGCAGATGCCATGAAACACAGTCACGCATGTATCTCTTATCAGTCACTCGTGTCATGTGAAAGTTAAAAGAAGCCTTTTCCCCCTGAAAATGTCCCTCCAACAGATGTGTTTATGCCTGTGCATGTAACACACAGTGGCTGAGCTCCCTTGTCATTCTCTCTCCCGAGCCTGTTGTGAAGCAAGGTTGAAACAGCCAAAGAGAGGCTTAACTATTGCTTATGTATCATCACGCACATACAGTTGCAGTTGGCTGTTTTAGAGAAGGAGTGAAACTTGGGATCAAAGGGCACTAATATGGGAGCAATTCAAGACACGGTTGCCCTCTTAAATCCTAATCTGGGCTGGCATGGCAAGTGTCAATACTACAGTTATGGCAACGAGAGGTCATTCCTTTGAAGATGTCTGAAACTTAAAGAGTTTGGGTTTCTCCCACAAATCATGATGGCCCTCCTGTCTCCAAAGAAGGGAAAAGCACCCTGGCACTTAATCATTATAAGGAAAATGACAAGGAAGGAAAGAAACACTAACTCCAAAGCCACACTATTTAATGCCATGTGCTTCTGTATCAAGCTGGTTTTAAGTTGTCCATTCTTTTTCAATCAAATGAAGAGTATAAGTATTTTCACCTGGTTTAACGAGCACAAAGTGCTCTGACGGGATTAAAAATTCTCTCCCCAAAGAGGATTATTAACTGATGGAAAAGAGAGACAAATATACTAAAAACTAACCCAGAGCCAAATTCATCCCAATTTTTCAGGGAAGACAGTTGAGCAAATGTCACTGAAAGATGCCAATCTTTGGAGGGAATGAATCTCAGCTATGGGACTAGAAAGCAGAAGGGGAGGCACCAAGAAAGTTCTGGAACTCTGTCAAACGAGAGCATTAGGTAGTCACAAGACAGCTGCCTAACAAGTAGATAAGATCTGCAGGGCACAGCAATGCCTGATTACGACTAAATCTCTCCCCCACTGAACAACCAGCTTGTCTGAAATGTCTGTTATGTGACTGCTACGACGAACCCTTGACAAAATGCAAACCTGCTACCTGAAAAAGAGGCTACTAAGACCACTATCTCCTCCTTAATTCATCAGATCATATACAAGGGACCCAAGAAGCTTCTGAAGTCGACAGACAGACAGGAGAACACCATGACAGAGTGATAAGGACCCACAAATAATTCTTTACAACTTTACCATTTTGGTTAGGTCTAAGATCTCTTTAGCGTACTAGGATGACCTTAGAAAGGACAGCAGAGAGAGCCATTTAGCGAGGTTGCGAATCCAGCTCCCCATTTCATGCCTTGTTGAATAAATGCCATACTGTATCTCCAAAACACAGGGTAAGAATAAGAAAGGTCTCAATACGCCCTCATGAGGGCTAATGAGCAGTAATTAAGGTGAATCTGGCCAGCAGTATCTTGTTATAGAAACATGCCATGAATGGTCAGCGGCTAAACAATTACTCTCTGTTCAATTTCTGTTTTGCTCAAAACTCTGCTTAAGGTCTCTGCCAACAACCCGGGTTCTGAAATGCTATCAGTGATGCCAACGAGAGGGCGAAGCAAGTCTGGTTTGTTTTCCTCCTGCAAGGAACAAATATTTCTGCTCATCTCTTTCAACCACAGTATTAGCAGGTGCTATTGAATTAATTTTTCAGCAATACTTTACAAATTGTATGCTGGGGGTATATGCTCTAAGCGACTTAAGCATCTGGATCAATTAACAATTGGGAAATTGCAGAGACAGGGGAAAAAAAAAACCCAAAAAACTCTCAAATCTCTCCTCTCTTCTCCTCCCTTTTCAGCATCTACAGAATCACTTGTGAGTATGTGTTCGGGATGCCTCCTCTGTCCAAAGAGGTATCTAAAGAATCAGCCCTTCTTGGGGAAATCGCAGATAAAACTGTCATTCTGATCCTTGTTCTCATGATCAAACACAAGATTTGTTTCCAGAAAGCCTTAACTGCCATTTCATTCTATGTATACCCCGTAAGCAAACTGGGTTCAAACATTCGGATAAACTGTCGCTTTCTGACATCTCTTGGTCAATTAGCCATATTTACCAAGGAGACCCTAAAAAATAAAACTGCAAAGGCAAAAGTTTGCAGAGCGTATTTGGTTGGTGCAGACTTGATTCCTGGCACTGGGCTAGATTTTGTCTGCTTCGCTGACCTTTAGGAATCTGTCCCCGCTGCTCTGGTTGCCACAGCGCAGGAGTGAATGGGGGGACACGTACGCGCACACCGCCACCCTCTGTCGCTTGCTCTCTACCCAAACACCGACGCGTAACAGCCCACTGGGCCTCTGACTCGACCAGCCCAGTTCCGCACAGCGAGGCGCACGGAGGGGACCTGGCTGTCCTCTGCAGGCGGCCGGTTCCCGCTTTCCTCGCTAGAGGGCAGGCGGGGCCCGCGCAAAGCCGCCTGGCGCGGGGCAGGCGCGCACGCAGCCCGGGCCCCGCACTCCGGGTCGCGCTCCGGGGCTGGGCTCGGCGGCCCAGGCGCCGGGGAGCGGCCGTGCCCGGGAGCGCAGCGCGCCCCGGTCCCCGGGGAGTGCGGCCCGGACTGCGCCCCGCGCGCTGGGCGTGGGCACCCGGCAGGGCTCGGCGCCCAGGTGAGCGGCCGCCCCGCGCGGGGGGGACACCGCCCGGGCACCGCCCGGGAGCGGGGCCAGGCGCCGCGGGCGCAGGGCGCGGGCGGACGGGGAGGGAAAGGCGACGGCACCGGAGCAGGAGTAGGAGGAGGAGGACCGCGGGGCCCGGTCGCGCCGCGCACCCACCTGGGCTCGGGCCGCCGGGCGCGGGATTCTTGCCGGAGCCTCGGTCCTTCTTCTTGCCCTTCCCCTTGCCTCTGCCTTCTTTGCGCTCCGACATCTCGCCGGCGACCGCAGCGCTCTGCGTGGACGGCTGCGGGAGAAGGCGACGCGCGACAAGTTTGGTGCAAGGGCTTGGAACGGGTCTGGGAAAAGTTTGTCCCTCGAGGGGGAAAGCGAGCGGCGCGGGGGCGTCCCCTGTCGCCGGCGGGGAGCGCTGCGGACGCGGCGTGCGGTCCGGGCCACCTGGAACGGGCGCTCCCGTCGCCCGGGGGAGTCGTCGCTTCCCGCCGCGCTGGGTCCCGCTGCTGGTCGTGGCCTCTGTGGGTCCCGCGCGCTCGCAGCCCGAGGAGGGAGAGGCGTTCACCGTCCCGCCCGCGCGCCCATCGCCCGGACAGCCGCCGCCACCACCGCTCCGCTCCTGCCCTCCGCGCCAGCCCGGAGTTGCGACAAGTTTGGGGTAACTCCTCGCCGGCTCTTTTTCAATTGCCCCACAGCCACCCACCTCCCGCCCGCAGGTTGGAGCAGGCGCCTCCTTCTCCCCCTCCCCTGGCCCCGACCCCTCCCTCCTCTCGCCACCACACCCCCACCCCGAGGCGCGGACACGCCACCGGGAGGAGCCTGGCCCCGCGCTCCCGGGCGCAGCCCCTTTCCCTCCGCCCGCCCGGGCGGGGGGCGGCGCGCGCCGGCTGCCCCGAGCCCCCGACAGGGGTCGCTGGGCGCTGTGCGGAGACGCGGCCCGGGGAGACTCCGGCACCCAGCCCGGCACCCTGGGGCTCTCGCCCTCGCTCCCCTGCGCTGCCTGGCACCGCCTGGGCAGGCCGATCCGTTCTTTCCAAGCAGAGAAAGACGTGGTGGGGAAAAAAGTTTGCAACTCTTGACACCTGCACCCAGATAAAGCTCTGGAGCCTTTGGGAAGGGGAGCAAGCGTTGGCGATTCACTGCTTTCCCCCTTCATTGCAAAAGCCTCTCGCACGTAAGCAAAGGTAAACTCACTCTGGGGGCAGGGAGGTTAAGGTAAGACTGTTCTAGAGACCCAGGAAGGCTCAGTGAACCTTGAAGAAGGTCAGATTGCATTGTCTGTCGACCTGCGCCTCGAGTGTGTGCCTGCTAGAATTCTCTCCGGCTTTTCCCAAAAATAAAGTGGCCTCTTCCTAGGGAATGCCCTTCCCAAACTCTTATCTTTTTTTTTTTTTTTTTTTTTTTACTACTAGAGGTTACTTTTCAAGGGAACTGATAAAAACAGTTCAAAGCACGATGGACCATTACTAAAATGAGCGCAATAGCTGGAAGTCACTCAGTTTCGCTAAATTGGAAAGCAAGGAGGGAGAGGTAGCATAAAAAGAGACAGTGCTGGAGATCTTTAATTCATTTAGTGCTGTCTTTCTCAGATGCAAACTTTCCCCAGAACTGCACGTGAAACCTATGCTCCTTCGCTTGCCCTCCCTCTGGTGGAGAGTTCTGGAGAGCAGTGAAATCGGGAGCGCTTTGCCTCCCAGCTGCAAGGGACACGGAGTTAACGACCAGAGGAATCCGCACCACGGAATGATCCAGAGTCGTCTGTATGTAAAGAAAACACTCTCATAGTTAGACCACAGCTGTGGCGAACTTAGACTGGTTCACTTGCAGTGATGCACTCTTGTGTTATGGTCAGGAAGCGGTGAGTAGGAACAATCCATATTTAAGATCTTCTACTCCGCTTTAAAAGTGACTCGCTCCTGATTTTCCGGTCTCTGGGGTTAATGCTATGTGAACCCTTACCTTCTTCACTGGATTTTCTAATTGCCACACTTTAAATAAAGGCGAAGACTTGGGTGTCTTCTTCTTGGGTAGGTGGGCAGGAAGGGGCGTGTAAAAATGCTCATCTTAAAACTGTCCTAAAATAAGAATAATCTTGTTCTGGTTTAATTTGCATTGACATAGAACCAAACTCTGTTGAGCGGGTTTAATTGTTAAAAGCTATCATAGCAGTACTGCCATTATTATTTATTTTTTAGAAGTCTGAATATCTTCTGATAACCTTCCTACAGACACCGTGTATAATTTTCACTGGGTCATGAAAACAGCAAAAGCAGAGAAAAGATTAGGCATATTTGTTAGTAGCACTATTAATATTCCACAGGGTCGAATGTAAGATGGAGTGTGGATGTTGGCTGAAATAACTCTGTTTTCCCAGGAGGGGGCCAACTGCTCAGGAAGCAGAAAACAGCAAAATTCAGAAAAGTCCTTTCAAAAAGGATACTTTGTCTCAAGGATATAAAACAGTGTAAGGGCTTAGCCACATGTTATTAGACAAATCATTTTAGAATTGAAGAACTTAAAACAATCTTGGAATTAAAAAAAAAATTAAGATCTTCCTAAATAAGCTAGTTGTAAAAACCCATACCTATGGAATTCTACCTATAATTTAGTTACTTTTGTTTTGGGTCTAGATGTTTCACTTCACAAAACAGCTTATTATTAGTTATAGTCATTTTTCAGTGAGGGTAGTGGAAAAACCTACAAATTTGTGATAAACTTTTATTTGGATGAACCTATAGGGGGAGTTGACAATCTTCCAAAACTAAGCATAAATGACTACAAAAAAAGAGTACTGATATTGTAGTACCTTTAAAATAAAACATGCCTGTAGTACCTTTAAAATAAAACATTCCTATGGACATTTTAAGGCTGGGGAATGAATAACTATAAAGAGAGGAAGGTGAGTATAGGTGAGCACTTAATAACTGCTTTTCCTTAGTTTGATGGGCTAGAGAAGGGGGAGGGAGGACAAAAATCTCAATGGTAACTGTTGAAGGAACTTTGAAGAAAGATGGTGGAGCTTTCTGGAACTATTCCAGATTCAGGAATACATTTCACTTGCCAATTGCAGCTGAATTGATCAGGAAATTCACTGCAAAATCTAAAAAAAAGTTTTTCCTACTAATATATTGTTTAAATGTCTTTATTCTTTATGTTATTTAATGTGGATTATAAGGGGCTTATTTTATTACATCATTTATGACCAGCTAAAAATTGACCAAATAAAATTCCGTATCTTGGATAGTTGAAACATTTATGAGATTTATGAAGAATTTGATGTCCTTAAATTATTCATCTCTGTGGTCAGGAAGTAGCAAATGAATTTATTTTGCATTTTTCAAAAGCCTTGGAACTGACCAGAACAAGGGACGGAGAAAGGAGGAGGAATATTTATGCTTTCTTAAAAAAACAACATATGAACCTCAATGTGTAATTTAGAAATGACAACATAGCTTCAAGATTTAATTTCATTAAATTGTTGTGTATTGTTCACTTCTTAGAGCATGTATTACATAGGGTATATATTAGCTCTTAGGTATCATGTCAACCTGTCAACATGTGTCAACTCCTAAGAAAAAGAGTAGAGATTTATAACTAAGCACCTTGAGAAATAAAGAAAGACTAAATAGATCTTATTTTAAATGACAGCTTAAAAGAAGCACAATCATGTGTCATTACATTTTTCTTTGACGAGGGTTAACTTCTAGAAGCACTCTTACAATCTACAAAGCTGGCTGAATATACCCTTTCTCTCAGTAATTCCTATTTGGGAAATACTCCAAGAAAATTTTAAAAACAGGAAAAAATTAAATGAAAGAAGACTAACAGGTAAAGATAGGTTGCATTTTTGCTAAATTTGCCTATTGACAGTAATGGGAGTTTAATTTAGAGCTCTCCAAACCGTTGCTTTTAACTTCTTTTAAAAAATGAAATAACTTAAGATAATTTAAACAAAGATTACTTTTTGAAAAACTTGCAAAAAGTTGACATTAATAAAGATGCATGAATGCAAAGAAAATCTCACCAGATAGTCAACTTCAAAACAACCACTAAATGTATACGATTCATTCATTCGCCAAGCATTTACTGAACTAAATGCTAGACAGTAGGGAAACACAAATAAAATACTGCGTCTGTCCTCATGAACTTAAAATATTGTGAGAAAGGCATAAGAACAAATTATGCCAATTCAATATGATAAGCAGGGCCAGATAATTTTTCTCGAATCTGAAACTCATAAAATCTGGGGAGACCTTTTTAAAGGAAAAGAATATAAAATTAAAAACACAAATTTAGGTACAAGAAATTAAAGAGGACCTTACAAGTGAGAAGCCCTGAAGAATAAACTTCGTTAGCTTCATGGTAAATTCACCGCTAGTGATTCCAAGCATATTCCACCATCTGCACCATAATTATAGTAATGGTACGTGACAATTATTTACTATCTTATAGATCAGATAATACTCCCACATGGTATCACTAAGAATAGGAGACATTAGCAAGCAATCAATAACACACACAAAACTGAAACAAGCAAAGACTAGCCTATAAGGGAGGAAAATTAGATGAAAATAGCTTTAATCCACAGATTAGCAGTTGTCCTGCATGTTCACTTAGACTCTTAGAATCAACATGCAAGTTGACTTTATTAAACAAAGCACTTCTGAAGAGCAAGATGCTGGCAAAACTAGAAATGATGCCCTCCATTCCATGTGGCAAATATTTAATAAAATTACTAATTAATCATACTCTGCTGTGAAGACGGTTTTATAACAAAATTGTGAGTTTAGAATCCAAAGAAAAATGTTAAAAAGGTAATGGTCCACCATTCAAATGAAATCTATGTTTACGTGTTTCTGCATGTGTGAATTTTAAAAATTACTGCACACCGCTATTATTAATCATCACTGTTAAGATTACTCTCATTGATATCAAAGATTTAAAAAATGGACAATACAGCTAGATATTAGTGCCTAATTTCTTTTTTGGGACACTACTTGGCAAATAGAGCTAATGTCATAAATCTAGTGTATAATAAAGTGAATCTCTAAGATTTCATGGTTTTTGAAAACATTTCCAAGAACACTATCCTGCCCAACTTTTCAGTTACATATTCTGATCTCTACACTAATTATCTTTATCCTCCTCAATCCCTTTGTATCAACAACCTTAATTCAAGTGTGTATGTGATGCAAATTTTTCAAATTTTTATATATACATACACATGTACATATCTAGATATACATGTATGTATATAGCTGTTTGTGTATGAATATATATGTAGCTGGATGTATAGTTATTGTTTCTCATTCTCTCTATTGGAAATGGGAAACATTGTATTTGAATATGAGCCTATAAAAGGCAGAGATTCTATATCCTTTTATCTACTTTTTTCATACTGCTATCCATTGGAACGCCTAGCATCATTCTTTGCATCTTCTAGGTACTAAATACTTTTGCATAGAATGAATTTAAATGGAATAGAATACGACGAAGATAAAAAGCCTACTTCTGATATTCCCATTTTCTACCAGCCAGTTACTAATTACCTACTCTGACATTCATTTTGACAACTCCTTTCTGCTGCCAGCCCAGACACAAGTCCTGTCATTTTGACTTCAGTCACCTTTTATCCCTCTTCACTAAGTCCCACTCCAATCCAATCCTTTATCCTTTCTTTGTTTTGATTGTAGCAAAGCTGTCTACCCAGACTGTTGTTTCCTCCAATTATTCTGACATATACAGCAGTCAGAAAAGTCTTTTTGACATGCAAATCTAACCCACTCACTCTTTGTTTCCAAGAAGTACATCCAGTGCCCTTGAAGAGCTAGGTAGGCTATGCCTAACTCCAACCTCATCTCACCGGCTTTCTTGCAACATGCCTCTAAACTTGCCATTCTGCCCAGCCTCCGTGCCTTTGCATTTGCTGTTCCCACTGCCTGAATTTTCCCACAAGCCCCGCACTTCGCCTACCTGTACTTACCATTCAGTCTCCAAGTGAAATTCAGTTGCCTGGAAAAGCTTTCCATTACCTTTAAAAACTGTTTCAGCCTGTCTTGTTTTAATCTCTGATTTTACTTTCTGCATCTCCTTCATAACCTCTTTCCCAGTTTGTAATTATGTAATTATTTTTGTAATTTTTTTAAATAATAATCTGTTCCTCCTCAGTATTAACCTCTTTGAGGGCAAAGACTATTTTGTGTTCTGTCTCATCATAGCCCATGTATATGTTTTGTTAATTCGTGAATAACAAAGAGAATTACTTTCACACGTATATAAGAATATATTAAATACATATATATGTCATATATATGTGTGCAGGTACTTATATTTATTCAATCACATTTTTAACTGATAATAATAGCAGATATGACACGTTGAGATAGTGTTTCTTAAAATAAGCCTTTCCAGGAACAAATACATATAATAAAATCTTGAATAATCAGTATGATCTCTCTATACTTTCTCTAAGAAGTGAAGTGATAACTTTTGTGAAATGGTAAAAGCCAAGAAAAAAAAAATTATTTTTTTTTCCTAAATTGCCTCTGCAAATTTCATCTGTAGATTACACTTCTTGGCTTCATTTCTCCCTTGTATTCTTGTGAGATGTCAGAGTGACCCATAAAATAGATGGGTTTCAGCAAGAAAGTTCTAAAAAAAGTGATAATGGGTGGAAACCTGAAAGCATTAGCTTTATTAACAGATAGTTAAAAACTTCTTCTGCACCTGGGCATAATTGGAAGGTTCCTCTCCCCATAGGATTATGTCTCACTTCACAGACCAGTGATAATTCCCACATAATCATTCCATCAAGTTGCACCCAGTAAACACCTTAGACAGATCTTTGAGTTTAGATTAAATTCTTCTAATATTTTTCTCCCTCCCCATGATCCATACTCATAAAGCAAATGCACAGGGATGTCTCCATACACACTTGGGACTTATTTTCTGTGTGCATTGTATTCTACAGCCAAGAGACAAATTCAGATGCTTCGATGGCTTTTAAGTCATCCCACAAAGATCCTTTCCAAGGTTAACATCTTCTTTCCCTTCAAAAGGCACTTTCTTCATTATTGTGCAAAGATTCACCCCTGTTAAATTTATAACGATGCTAAAATATAAATTGGACGTCATGAGTGATGAATTAGGACTTCAAATATTTGAACAGTGGGAGTAATTTAACAGGTCAGCTCTTTTTTTTTTTCTGCATTTTCCATAAGAGACACCTGGTACACAGCATTTCCAAAACAGATTATAGTATATAGGAAATTGCTTCATAACGTCATCATGATGTCTGGGGTGTATGGAATGAAACATTGACCCACAACACCGTGTACCTGGGCCAGGCATGTGTATAATAATACCACAATTATTCTTTTTTCCTTCTTCCCCACTTAATGTCTTCCAACTTCCTTACTAAATCTTTATAAAAACATCCCCTCTTGTTTTCAGTTCCTCCTCATGTCAAAGCCCAATACTTCATAGATCTGACTTAACTAGGGATTTTTACTTTAGAGCTGAGAGCCAAGAGTGAAGTTCGCAGTGGAATGTTACAGTCATCTCCACCCCTGGATCCAAGCCTAGTACTCAAGTTTCTTTGCAACAAACCAACTTTCAACACAATGTATGTTGGGGAATTTGTGTGTGTTCGCGTGTGTATGTGTTAAAACTATATATATATATATATATATGTATGTATGTATGTGTGTATATATATATATATCTTTCAATTCTCATTCATTTGGGAAAAGAATTTCACAAGTATTAACACAACTCAAGAAGGCAAGTCATCCTTTAAAGATGATTTAGCAGAACAATTAGCCATCTTGACGGAAACCAAATGAACGTCCAAAAAAATAACTGGTGACCAACCATGCAGAAGATTACATTCTTATGGAAAATGTTGTCTTTTCTGCTTAATCATAAAGATTGGGTTTCCCATAGGTGCGAGATGGAAACTACCTAATTCAAATGGTGCAGGGAGCTCTGGTCTTGCCTAAGGTCCTATCCAGCCTGTAGGATTCTTGGGGGCCCACAGAAATTCTGGGGATGATCCTGGAGACCCTAGGTATTCCATTGAATGTCTAGCATATGTTTGGATCAGCATTTGTGAGTAATCTCTGTTCCATCCCAGAGTGCCCTAAAGTCTCTGAGATCCCATAAAGCAATTATATCCAGGCACAAAATATTCTGTCAGTCCTGCTGAGACTAGTCCTGGTTTTGTAGGCAGAAGGAGAAAGTCACTTTAACTGAGGT